ATATTCTAATAATATAATAATATTCTTTTCAAGGTCCTTATGTTTTCTGTTATTTAAAGATATTAAATCAGAAATATGTTATGTATATCAAATGATTCCATTCAACACAATTCTGTTGAGTATTAAAATACTCAATTCTATTTTTTACCTTATTATTGTATAAATTACATAATATCTAGCCCATAGTAAATGAAATAATTAATTGATTAAATTTTGAAAATAGAAAAGTTTACAAATGAATATAGTCAAGTCAAATATTGGCAAAACATATACATGTATCAATGTATAAAACATAACCTGTAATACAGTGTATACGTATTACATAACTTCCTAATAGAATCAATCGCTGTATGCTACAAAGTATTTTTTTTTAAAAATAGCACCTAGACCAAAACGTCTTGATAAGAATCATTTAAGACATTTAAAATTGAACAATCTCATACGTGTCAATGAGACTGACATAAAGATGCCCTTGTTGGCAAATACTATTAAGAGGATATTCGTTTCAGTGAAATATAAAATATATTTCCACAAAATATGATAAAAGTCAATATATTTTCACGAGCCAGAACAATCGAGTAAAAACAAAAACTCTCGCTGGATATCAATTTATGCAATATTTCAATTATTCATTAGTGAAATCGGCAAGTCATTTCGTAACCGGAAACAAAACTTGCAAATCTCATACGGCATCATATTCTTACAATGTATTGAATAAAAACAAACAACAAAATTATTTTATTTTTTTTATAATGAAATGAACAACTGAAGCTATTGACTGTCACAGAAAAACACATCTGAAAGTAGTCCCTAAATATTAATATGAATTTTGACTCCGCACACTTTCATATACATTTTCCACTATCTAAAACATACCGTACGTGTATGACTGGAACAATATAAAAGAAAAAAGCAAAAGTACGAAACAATTTTTTGCATCAATGAAATATTTTAGACCATAATTCGAAATTTGAAAGTGACAATATCATAAAACCTTTAAAGTTATAGGGAATTGCGAACACACAATATAAAACTTCTAGAATATTCTGCCTAGTATGTATATCTATCTTAAAGGGGCAACATTCGCTGCCGCGGAAGCGAGTATTTGTGGGTGTGACTAATCAGTGATGTAAAACTGTCTGTTATAAACCATGAGCTAAAAATAGCATGCAGTGTTAACCTGCAGAGAGAATGTAAACAAAAATAGCTGATTTTACACAGGAGAGGTTTAATGGATGTTTATATAACTCACAGATTAATCAGATTAATTAAAAGACATTATCAAGCCATCTTGTCCAGATATTTTTTTTGAAGTCAGTTGTTTTTCTTTTCTTCACTGAAATGCTGTATGTTCTTGAAGGATCTCTTTTATTTGGAATCTGTCTTTCTGATGTTTGAGGGCGATTCACATTTTCATTCCAGTCAAGGACAGCCAAGTTAATCCTGATTTTGTAGGGATCTAATCCAAAACATATTCTTTGGTCTCCATACTGTAATAATGCATTATTAAACGATTCTACGTAGTGAGTATCCATACAGTATCTATATTTTTCTGCATCTTTGTATACTGGCATTGATTTTAAAAAATTTGTAAGAATAGAAACAGCTTTTTCATCTTTGATTGTGTATTTGGAAAATTCATAATTTGGGTCTGTTTTGCATCGAGAAGTTGGTAGAAAATTGTCGTGACTGCCCTTGTAGTGGTCAACAAAGTTAAGTATGTTTTTTCGTAGAACATCAGACTTGGTGACTGTCTCAACTTGAATGCACTTGTTTGTTGCTTTACCAAGACAGACAATATCAGTGAACTTTGCATTCTTGCGCCAACAATGGCGGGTATCAGTAACAATATTTATTCCTGTCAGTATTTCATCATCAGGCAAAAGTGCAGCGGTCATGGCAATTTTATCTTGAAGAACATTGTTTTTAGATTCTAAGACTTCATTCTCTTCGTAAGTCTCCATCATTTCAGAAATATATTTTTCCAAAAAATCTGCAATATCTGAAGCTTCACACAGTTTTTGAAATTGGTTAGGTAGAATGCCGCTAGAAAAATAACCATGACAAAATTTGTAACTTGCTAAAAACTTTCCGTTTCCCATGTGTGGAGAGGACGTCCAGCTCAAGGCATGGAACTCCTTACATTTGATATTGGCAGTCATTACCCCATGCATTTTTTTTGTTATTTGATTTATCAAATCTTAATCTTTCCTTACATTTTATATCATGGGCTTGTACTTGTGTTATAAGTTTTTGAACTGATGATAAACATCCTATAAAAATGTCTTCCGTTTTTGCATCTTCCAAGGTGCAGTATTGATATTCTGGCTCAAAGTCTAAACTTTCATTTGTCACATTATCTTCAACGGGTAAGTTCAGAGAAGTAAAAAAAATAACAAAGCCTGTGGAGTAGCTCAAATGTCGATATTTTATTAAACTGTCCTCCATCAAGAAACAATTTTATTTTGTCAATTTTGTTAAACAATTCAGTTTTTTCTGACTCATCATTGTAATATCATCCATGTTTATCACTCTATTGTATACCTGACTTTACAAATGAATCTTCACACAAATGAAAATGAGATCAGCTTCACATTGTTTTAACTGTAAACTCTGCTGGGAAACATTTTAATCTGCCAACACCTAATTAAGATACTGTCACACTGAGGTATAATTGTTCATTGTATGGCCTGCCATGTAGAATTAAAATTCACATATGATGCTTGTTTTGGAGGTAAATATTGCAAATCTTTAAGCTGTTATAATCTGATTTTATATATTTCATACAAATTTGAATTCTAAAAAATGGCACAGGATAATAAGAAAAAGAGATATGTGATTTATATGACAGAAGAACAGAAATAAATTACTTGTGGAATATTCAGTTTTCATGGGTGGGATATTGAAATATCAAGTGATGTCGATACTGAAGCAACAAGTACCCAGTATCAAAATTTGAGCAGAGCATCAACTGAGACTAAGTCAGTAAACTCAGATGTTTGCGAAAAAGAAATACCTGAAGAGAATGCAAACTTGTCAACATATCAACAAGATGGATCATCTGAAGTGGCTACCGGTAATACAGATGTTTGTCACCACTGTCTTAGTTCCCCCTGTGTGACTGCAAGTCCTCAGGCCTGGTTAGGAGATGGTCGCTTAGCAAGACCAGGAAATAACTTAATAAGAAAAAAAAACTTTATAGAAAATACTAGACTATGCTCGACAGAAGGTGACTTTGGAGCAATAGTGTATATTTAGAAAGAAAGGAGAGACTTATGCTTGCAGCACATGTTGAACTGACTGTAAGGGAAGTTATGCTCGACTGTGTCCTGCATCAAGTCAGACAACTCCAAAGGATGTGCCGTACATGGGACATTTCTTTTAAGAAAAAACTGTTAAAAATGATCTTGACAGGAATTAAAAATATTTTTAAACTATTAATATATAAACATTTTATACAAAGTATAAACATTTGTGAAATGTAATTTTGACTGCAAGATATTTACAACAAAATATAGTGTAAATGAAATATACCTGGAAGTTACTTTTGCTGTTTTCATGAAGTTTAAACCATTTAAATACAAGTTAAAACAGTACTTTGAAATTAAAACAAAATCATAGATTAATGGATTATTGTAAATTTGTTGGATATAAAGACTTTTTGATAAAGTAAGATCAATAAAAGTTATTGTTTTTTCTTATCATGTATTCAGCATTCGAATGTGTCGTATGCTGAAAATCTCCCTCCCTGAAATATATCGTCTGCTACAAATCTCTCTCACTGAAACAAACACTGCCACGTGCGTCTGTTTACTACTGAAGGTTCATGACCTGTAATGATCAGTTGGCTCCTCCAAGGGAAATTCAAATTTCAAATTTGACAGCCAGTATTTTTTTCCAGAAACACACTTTACAAAGTTTTATTTTGAAAACATTTGGTCAATCTATATCAAGAATATCTATGCCTAAATACATGCCAAGTGTTGTTTAAATGTATTTGGTAATTAATCTTAAATCTTTGAAAAATGGTCCCTGAAGTGAAGCATGCATAAAATCAATAAGAAACCTGCCCTAGCGCCATCTGCTGGCTTTTATAGTCCAGTTGGGCCCGTAAGGTTATATCTTAGCTAAATACCTCTGCACGGAGGCTCTTAAATGAAAACACGTATGTGTGCAAAAGTCAATGAGGCATAAATTATGGTTATAGATTTGGAAACTCCTATTTCAGCCAATCATTTTTGAAGTCACAACAAAGCCTATCCTGGCAGATAGATGGACCTAAACTTTTTAAATATGAGCTCATTCATTTTGGTTTACTAATGATAAGTAACAGATAACTAACATAACGACAAATTAAATGCAACAACATCAGCTACTAGTTTAACATGAATTTATATCTTGCAACAATTAACGGTTGCGTTGCGACATTTAACAGGAGTGAAAACCGTGCGACATTTAGCGTTACCATTACGACATTTAACGGCAAACGATTTTTTGCGACATATAGCGGCGGTTGCGACATTAAGCAGCAATGGTGCGACATTTAACGGCAAGTGCGACATTTAGCGGTGTTGCGACATAAAACGGCGCCACACTCGGCAATACATTGGCAAGACAACACCGAGTATATCAATTAAAGCATAAATATGTTGCGGTTCGGATCAGAATATACGTCCCGAGGGTACCCGTCCATTGGGCGATAACGAGGCTTGTAATTACAACTTAATTCATAACGGTAAAATTATGTCATCCTAAGCGTGCACTTGAACAGCAAGCAACTCATCTGGCATCCCCCATGCAAGATGAAATTTCCGGCATGGGTAAAACTAATGACAACGGCAGTCTGATACGCAAGAATGTGCAAATAACGCAGAAATTGAGCTGATGCAAAGCAGAATTCTGCAATTCTGTTTCCGGACGAGCACCACGGAAGTAAATAAACAAATTGTTGTACATCAAATTTTATGAAATAAATTATTAAAATTATAAAGTAAACATACTGTTTGTGTCAAATGCTGGGATAGGAGGACAATTTATTACCGAAGTCGATCCTGCTGAAGTGTCTGGCCAACATCCTCCCCATAGGTCAACATTTCTTTCACAATATGGACCTTCTGAAAGTATAAAAAGTAAAACTATCACAGCAAGCTTAATAAAAAACAAATATGTAGATGCTATATTTGTTTTGCATGTAACTTGTAAGATAGAAATATAAAATCGTACTGTATATTTGTATGTATATTCCTGTATAAGTACTATAATTCATCAGAGCACCAGAGTTTAATACATACGGAATTTTGCATAACTAGAGTTGAATAAAAAAATCATTTATGTTAATTTTTTGATGACAGCAATTTATCCATTTTTTGGCCGTTTCGGATGATAACATCCTTGAAGGAGGCGGGGGGGGGGGGGGTGTCACGCTACAGCCCCGGAAAGTTGCGATTTGTGAAGCATTGTGCATGCAAGCTAAATATGAATTATATCATAGTTTGAATCAAGTTAACCCTTACAATTCCTTTGTATAATCAATATTACTAAACGTACATAATATATACAGAATCAAATATGTAGTGAATGGCATCTTAAGTTTAAATTAAAAGTTTAAATTTCGGAACTAATTTTACTGCTCAATAACTAATCATATTTTAGAGATTCGCTTATTTCGCTCAAAACCATCCCTGGCTACAGAATAAGGATATTTACTACAACGCTTTGCCACAAAAACAATTTTACACATATAATTTATTTTCCTACATAATATGCTATCCAATATATGCTCTAGCATACATATCCATCGCACTCTCTGCTTTCAGCACTTTGATACATAATCCAACGTATAAGTTATAAAGTCCTATGTAGAAGTTATTAAGTCCTACGTAGGAGATATAAACTCCTCATTAGGCTTTTTTATTTCCTATGTAGGAGTTATACAGTCTAAAAGACTTATAAAGTCATACGTAGGACTTACACAGTTTAAATTCGGCTTTTTAATCTCCTACGTAGGAGTTATATACTCCTAGTTAGGCGTTTTTATCACCTACGTAGCAGTTTAAAAGTCCTGGACGGTTCTAAACTGCTGACGACTTAAGTTGACTATATAAAGATGTTTCTACATAATAAAGTGTTGTTTTGACTCATATATGAATTGTTCTGTATTATATATTCATAAATGCACATCGTATAATAAAAGATTGAGATCATGTTGGACACATTTACATCATATATTATTAAGTTGACTCTATATAAAGACGATTCCACATAACATAGTGATGTTTGGACTCCAGTTCCACATAATATATTTGTAATTGCACATCATATAAAAATAAATGAAAGACTGACATCATATAAAGACCGATTGACATCATACTGTTATTATGACTCTATATAAAGATGGTTCTATTCATTAGTGCACATCGTATAATGAAAGACTGGCATCATATAATGAGACATGTGCATCATATATTGCTAAGTTGACTCTATGTAAGGACGATACCTCATTATATACTGGTATTTTGACTCTATATATTGATGGTTTCATATAATATACTGAAAAATGCACATTGTACATTGATAGATTGACATACTATAAGTAAACATCGACATCATATATTGTTGACTCTATATAAAGATGGTTCCACAAAATTTATTCATAACTTCACATCATATAATGACAGATTGACATCATATAAGGACAGATTGACATAATATATAGTACTTTTGACGGTTCCACATAATATATTAAAATCAAAGCACAGAAGGCGCTGAATTTGTTTGGGTCTCAGAATGTCAGAAAGGTGAAGGTTGTGAGATTATAGACCAATTTGTTTTTGTATAATGCCACCAATGCTTTCCAGCGTTTTAATTGTAGTAAAATGGCTATAAGACTATATAATTGCAACACTGATATTCAATTCAATTTTTATTTGACTTTTAAACAATTTGAAAAAAAAAAATGAGTTGCCTTAACTGGGATTTCAACTCCAGACCTCTCGCTTACAAAGCGAGCGCGCAAACCACTCGGCTACGGTGAAGTTATATATTAACGGCCTGAAGAAAACCATATTGTTCTAGATTAGGGTTTGTAACCATTATAATTTCGACGCTTACTGTTGTTTAATACAGATGTAAATAATCATGGAGCTTACTATAAGCATGTATATCTATAAAGAATAAAACAATATTGGAAATCTTCGACCATTCGGGAACTATTTTGCTTGAAACCGCCTCCGTGGTCGAGGGGTTAGAGTCGATGACTTCTAATCCAGTTACCTCTCTGGCGTTGGTTCGATCCCCGGGAGATACTTTGGTAGTTTAGAGGAGTGTAGTCTAGTACTGGGGTAACTCTCCAGAAACGATGGTTAGGAAACTACCCGCCTATATGACTGAAATACTGTTGGGAAAAGGCGTAAAATGAAACAAACAAACAAAGCTTTAAAATTAATGCGCATGTCATTTGACCATCTTTACGCAGTGATCTCCCCTGAAGTTTTCGGCGTTAGTGTACATGTAAAGGGATGTAACCGCTTCAAAAAAGCGGACTACTTTCGGCATTTACAATTTACAGCATAAGGGTCTGAAATTTCGCTACCATTATTTGTTTGGTCTGACATCATATATTGTTCAGTTGATTATATATCAAGATGGATCCACATAATATATTCATGAGTGCACATTGTATCAGGAAAAGTTGACCCAATATATTGCTATTTGGACATAACAACGTTTAGGTTTATAATGATATGACAGTCAAGGCTTTCCATAGTAAACGGTCATTTTTTATCCACCGCTTCAGGGACGAATACTCAACCGCCGCTGCGATTGACCCATCGCTTCTGCGAAAGCTATGGCCAGTGTGAATGTAATATTGTGCTATGAGGCACAGTCTGTATAAATTTTTCATGTGTAGCAAGTCTCGTAACTTTTTATCAATATAACACTATATAATCGTTTTCATTTATACAAATTTTAAAACCAATTTTATACCATGTAAATCAACCGACGGTTAGCGCCATAATTCTTTACAGCAATGAATTTTTTTAGTCTATGGTCTATATTTTGATTGGCTCCCGTGTTTTGGGGTTTACATTAAGAAAAAAAATAAGAATTCGGTTATTTACAGGTAACATAATAAGTAACCGAGGTTCCGACTGGGGATCTAATTCATTAATGGAACCAATATATTTTAAAATTTTATGTCGAATCAATTCTTATTTCAAATTATCATGCAATAAAACAGTCATAATATTTTGAACTCGATTGATTTGTGGAACATATCATGGTCTGGGTCTGTATATTGGGTTTTCTGTAAAGAAAATAGTCTCGGCCTTATGTCTCGAGAAAGACCCTTAGTTTCGCCCTAGGCCATACTATTCCCATGTCAACTATTAGTCTATCACTAGCTATTACGAAATGATCATGTTTATTCATTTAGTCATAAAAGGAAGACTATACTACAAACGTATATTTCTTTATTGACGTACACGTTAAAATGTATGGTGGCTGATTCTAGTTGGCGCTAGCGACAAACGGCGCGTTGTCGGACTTTCGTCTTCTCGTCCTGTCGCTAGCCACAACACGACAAAGCACTTATCCTACAATTTGAAGAGAGCGACAATGTGACATCGTGACAACACGCCGCACGACAACGCGCCGTTTGGCGCTTCGTCGTGTTGTCACTAGCGCCAACGCGACGCACAAAAGCGTACCAAATCAGCCACCATAGCTATGTTTTGTAGCTCTCTTGTTTATAGAATCATCAGTGTAAGGCTTTTGTAATATATTGACTCCCTCTTTGCACAGATATATCTATATTTAGCTCCATGCTATTGGTTAGCTAGCTGATAAGCCCCGCCTAAATTCACCTGGCATCACCTCTCTGTAATACCATTAGTAAAAAGATTTAGAAACCGAACAACTGTGTTGTTAAATCTCTCTAACCGTGCTGCCCAGTAACTATCATATAGCAAACATTACAGTTTTGCATAACAACAGTAATGTCATCTCACCATATCATCATCATCCTTAAAATATAATAATCTAATTCATCAACATAAATTCAGTATTTGTCATTATAACACAAATCTAATGTAAATAAAGAATGAATCACATTTTGTTTTTTCAGAGATTGGATTGAAAGATGCCAAATAACAAAATTTACTATTCCTGAACTATGATCATTATAAAAAGGTTAAGAATTAGAGAGGTCTGTCTCATCACCAGGAGAAAACTTTGCCTTTAAACCACTTTTTTCCGCCAAAAAAGATCATGGTAAGAAGACGCTCATTTTTAAACGACAGTTTCTTGTGGTTAATAGACGCTTACAAATGTCAGTCTGGACAACGCACTAGATGCAATATCAAATTATTGTCAACTATGGCAATTACAAGCTAATCCTAATAAGACTAAAATTGTTTTCTTTTTGTAAAAGTAAAAGAGGTTTATGTAATATCCCAGCCTTTAGTTTTGAAGGTAATTTGCTAAATATTGTTGATAATTTTTCATACCTGGGTGTTAAATTCTCTTATAATGGTAAATTTGCTAAAACGAAGAATCATTTATTAGAACAGGCAAGAAAGGCTATGTTTTCAATTATAGTTAAGGCTAGAAAATTGGATCTACCTATCAGTATGCAAATTCATTTATTTGATAGCATGGTAGCACCTATATTGTTATATGGTAGCAAAGTTTGGGGAATTGAAAATGTGAATATCACAGATAGTTTTCAATTAAATTTTATAAACTCATATTAAATTAGAAACAAAGTACAAATTGTATGCTTTATGGAGATTTAGTGATATTACCTTTATCTATTCATATAAAAAGAGTTTTGTGCTTTTGGAATAAGATTTTATGTAGCGAACAAGAATCAATAAGCCATTTCTTGTATGATATGTCACACTCATGTGTTGAAATTCCCATGGATGAATAGTGTTTGTAAATTACTAGATTCACAGGGTTTATCAAATATTTTGATAAATAATGTAGCTACTCTTCCATTGTTTAAGAAAATTGTTAAAAATTCAAAATTGTTCATTCAATTGGCAAAGTGAAATGTCAGAATCCAGTAAATGTCTGAATTATAGAATGTACAAAAGTATACGAGTATGTAGTG